CGTCAACCCGTGGTGGCAGGTTTCAGCAGAGCTTCCAGACTAAGACAGACTAGGAAGAGGGACCTGGCCATCCTCTTCTGAAAAACTTGGCCATGAAAACCCTACAAAAAGTAGCAGAGCACTGTCTGATAGAGCGCCAGAAGGTGAGAAGATGGCGCAGAAGGGCCGGGCAGGGTCCTGCTCTGCTGTCCACAGGGGCACTAGGGGTCTGAATCGACTCGATGGCACGAACACCAACACACCAGCTCCAGGTGATGCTTATGCTGCTGGTCCCTGGACCACACTGAATAGAAGACCTAATCCACGCAGTCTGTTCTCTCTGCACAATGAGAAGAAGTTCATGTGGGTATATCCATAAGGGCCCTTACTATTAAGAACTTTTATTTCTCTGTATTTCTGACATCATCTTAACTACTTCTGGGCTTTTGTTTTTCTTAATGAGTTTTAGTTTGAGCAGTCTACCAAACTATAGTGTCTTTGTGATTTAGCCCCCAAGCCTTTTTTTTTTTTTTTTTTTTGGTGAGGAAGATTGGCCCTGAGCTAACATCTGCCAATCCTCCTCTTTTTGCTGAGGAAGACTGGTCCTGGGCTAACATCCATGCCCATCTTCCTCCACTTTATATGGGACGCCGCCACAGCATGGCCTGACAAGCTGTGCGTTGGTGTGCACCCAGGATCCGAACTGGCAAATCCCAGGCCGCCGCAGCAGAGCGCATGCACTTAACTGCTGCGCCACCAGGCCGGCCCCCCCATTTTTTTCATAGACTAATATTTTGTAGCCAATGTGTAAGGATAGAAAGAGCAAAAGATTTAGTGTTAAAAGTTCTGATTTCAAGGTCTGACTCCCCATACCAGCTTTATGACAAGGCAAGCCACTGGAGCTTTCTAATCTCATGTTATTCATGTGTGGTATGATGTGGGAGTCATGATATTGCTTTATCTCACTGAGTGGTTTTGAGGGCTAAATGATGTAAGAGTGTTTTAACTCATTTCACGGGAAAAAAATACGTTGACATCACAATCTATGAACATGAGTTAGTATCTCAAGTTTCTTTCAACAATGCTTACCCTCAGTATAGTGGATATACTTGGGCATGTTTTCTTTTCTATTCCTTTTCATTTGTTAAAGACAGCCAGCCATGGCCAGTGGTTTAAAAAGCATTGATGTCGGGCCCGCCCCGTGGCAGAGCGGGTAAGTGCATGGGCTCCGCTGCTGGTGGCCCAGGTGTGGATCCCGGGCGCACCCATGCACCGCTTGACAGGCCATGCTGTGACGGCGTCCCATATAAAGTGGAGGAAGACGGGCACGGATGTTAGCCCAGGGCCAGTCTTCCTCAGCAAAAAGAGGCGGATCTTCCTCACAAAAAAAAAAAAAAGCATTGATGTATATGGGCATGCATTATACACTTAAAACTTGCTATATAAATTCCCATTTTAGCCAAGAATTTAAAGTACAGAGAATTTAAATTTTGCTAGTGTTAACGGAGTAGAATGAGTACTTAGTCGATTTTTGGCAACTTTCAGAGGCCCATGGACTGTCCTGTAACCATTGCAGCATTAGTCTCTAATGTTTTCTTCTAGTTGTGTTTGCCAGCAGTGGGAGACAACGTGGACTAAGTCATGGCTGTTGCCCTGGATCAATTCCACTTAAGAGAATTAGACACAATTTCACAGATAATTATATGTGATTAGATGTTGTTACAGGCACATGTTCAAAGTACTCTGGGGATAAAGCATGCTCGGTTGTGTCTAGGTGTGAGGCAGGCTTCACAGGAGGTACCAATCAGCTGTTAATATGAACTCTCTCGTAGGTTGAAACTGATTTTCCAACTCCAACATTAAGAAGAAAAATCCCATTTAACAAAGGTAATTACTTATATCTTCATTTTGTAGCTCAGTTCTATTATAGGGTAGTCTCTTTATTAACATGGTACTAAAAGTAACTGCTCTCAAGTGGGTGGACTTACCCTTTTGTTTATTAATTTTCAATTTCATTGAAATTACTTGTAGAAATTTATTAATCTTTTTTATTAAACTTCTCTTTACAGAATTAGCAGAAAACTCTGGTATTGGAAAACTTTTCACTAATGCTATGGAGTCTTTAGATGAAGAAGAGAAAGACTATTATTTTTCAAACTCTGATTCTGCATAGTAAAAATGAGAAAATATTTCCAAGATTTTTATCAAGAAGCAGACCTTTATATCTTCATTTGAAGTACATATATTTTCTTTATAATGTAGCTTCATATGAAACTGTGGACTCCTCTTCAAAGGTTTCATGTGTTTGTATTCAAACTAAAATATCCTATAGAATATTCCTCATTGCTGCAGCTTACTAAAAATATAAGGAAAATTGTCTTGCTTGTATAGATATTTGTAAATTTCTGGGTTTGCAATATTAAAAAATATGTAGATAAGTCTCTCATAAGCATCTAAGTCTTTTACTTTAGGAAAATCATGTTCCAAAAAGATTTTTTAAAAGCTTTTGAGAAAATGTTGCTATCCTTAAGGGGGAAACATGGGGGAAAATAAAAGATAGATTGTACTGGTGGCTAGTGAATTCATGACCGTTTCAAGTTAGCATTTGTCACCAGTTAGTATACAAGCCAGAGTTGATCTAATGTTTAAATTACATGTTGTTGAAACTATTTGACATACTTTCTCCTGTTTTGCTTAAAACTTGTGATTGGCATATCTATGAAACCTATGTAAATTTAATTTATTGTTTTTTCAGTATTATATTAGGTAGAATCAGAGAACAGATTTTGTTGCATTCTTAAGCCTTATTTACATATGCAGACATAGCTTAAATCTGGTCTCAATATTAAAAAGACTGGCTTAGACAAACATCAGGTAATGGATCTCCCAGTGTAAGGAGTCGAGTTATTGTGTCATGTCACAGTATACACTGTTTTCCTTTTAGACAGGCAGCTTCTTTAGAAATAAACTTCTTTTAGCTTATTCTGCCATTATGTTTTAAAATTATGTTGACATATAATATTTTCCCTTTGGTTATAGTACATACCCTTTCTATCTAGTTAGATTGTTCAAATAAAGTTAGTTGACTTTTATACTATTTGTGTTTTGGGGGTTTGTTTTGTTTTTATTGAGGTCACAGTGGTTTAGAGCATTATATAAATTTCAGGTGTACATCATTATATTTCAACTTCTGTATAGACTGCATCGTGTTCACCACCAGAAGTCTAGTTTCCATTTGTCACCATACATGTGTCCCTTTACCCCCTTTGCCTTCCCCGCTTGGTTATTTTTTTAAATTACTGGATCATAGAAAGAAAACAAATATGAATTCTGTTACCGGTTCAGTTTGTTTCCTCAAAAAATGCCACAACTTTTAGTAAAAACTACATTTTCTTGTTTCTTAGGAATGTAGTAATAACCATCAGTTATAGAACTAGGGGGTTTACAGAAATGCAAGATTTAAAAACAATAGGGCAGTTAGACTGAGAGCATTCTTGAAACTACCATGACTGTTTCTGCCACAAAGACTTAATAGATGTAGGATGGAACAAATGAAAAGGATATTTTAGAGTGGCTCTAAAAGATACTGTTGTAGAACTTAAATTGCCAATATTTGGTGTAATACCATGCTGTTTGATGCTAATGGATAGTGTTTTAGGAGTTAGAAGTTGATTCCATAGTGGGAAACAAAGATAACTTTGAAATAGCATAGACATGACACAAATCAAAAGTGTCACACACCCCCCCCCCCCCCGCACTCTCCATGTTCCCTGTGTCCTGTCAGACTTCCTTCTGTTCTGTTGTATCCCACCTGCCAAGTCCCTGGTTAGTCCCATTTCTTTCCATCAGGTCATAAGATAAGCTAAGCTACTAAGGTTTAATGTAACCTCCCAAGGACACTTACTTGAAAGTGGAAAACAAAGACTTTAAGGGCTCAAAGACAATAAGATGGATTGATAATCAATAGGGTTGATTGAGTCATAGTTAGTTAGGTACTGCCAATGAAAGTACAGGAGGCGGCCATGGCAGCTTAAACGTGGCTGGCGCTCTCTACACAGCAAGCATAAGTAAATGCAGTCCTCTAGGTTCCGTCCTTCACACCATGTTAATTTAGGAAATGTTTTGTCTGATGGGTGGACACCCAGAATCAGAGCTCGCTGGTGTCTTCGGGGGAGGTGCTGCGAGCTGGTTGAGGGACTGCATGCTTCCGGCGTGCAGCTGGGGCAGAGCGCCACCAGACGTCCCACCTACACGCACCCCTGACACCACGTAGCAGGAGCAAGAAGCAGCAAAACAGCACCCTGGAACCAGAAAGAGAAACCCCTTCCTCCTACTGACAACGCTTAAATCATGCTCACTGCAGGGAGAAAGGCTCATCAAGTTCAGTCTGTTGTAGCAGAGCAAGATACTGAAGGGTGAATTTGAACCTGAGAGAGAATACACTGATAATTGCACATCAGCCAGTACTTATAGAACTTCTTTTCTCTCTGGCTTTGACAGAATTATTGAACAGCAGAAATAGGAGATCAGTTGCTTTCAGAAGAATTGAGAATTATTTATACTATCCCAAAGGAGATAAATTCACAATTAGAGTAACTTTTTAGTGAAAGAGAACTGCATCCCGTTACTGGGTACTGGTTCTAGATTTTCCAGTCTAAACCTGAATGAGCCACTCATTTCTAGGCCTAACTTTTGTCATCTGATGAGAAGGTAACTTGAATTAGATGAGCTCTGAAGTCCCGGCAGAGTCTCAGATAAGGAAAGCTCTCTGCTGGGAGGTTGGTCCCACTGCCCAACAGTGTAACAGAAGAAAAATATAAGGCAAGAGGAGAATAAAGGACTCTGCATGGGGGATAAAAACGTCCATAATTAAAGGCTGCTTTAGCTCCAGACTGACTAGAAGAAAGGGCCTCAGATGTTGCAGATAAAAACATGGAGCCATCTTAAAATAGTAATAGCATCACAGACACAAGGTAATGGGTCACGATGCAAGTCCACACTCAATAGCTCATCTATACTAAAAAATTTTCCAAGTCCAGGCCGCTATACACTTCTTTGAATATGATATTTCAATGAAAAAAGTAGTGTAGGCTGGAGTTCATACGAATAGAATTTGACTGTGCTTGCTTGGGACACCTTTGGTAAGATAAACATACTCAGATTTTCTAGTTTCCTAGTTACTGGGGTATTTATCTCACAATACACCTACCACCCACACCTTACCCAGTATGTATATAGACTCAGGACATTTAAAATAGTCTAAACGATATTATAGTTAATATATAGGAAAAACTGTTTATGACCATTAAGTTGGCAGCAGTCAGACACATCAATTTATGCTCAGAAATGACAACTTCAATACTATAAATCTGGAAAAATTCCAAAATGCATCTCTAACTCTAGCTTTTACTTGCTTCACAGTACCATCAATAAACTTTTCTTTATTCAATTAAGGGGGGGGTTCATAATCTAATCAAAATGATAATTGATCAGGGGTTTTCTTTGTTAATAATTTATATAATCTATATAAATAAAAATGTATACAATATAAAATAATAGATATGGAGATATTCTCTTATTTACATATTTTAAACTGACAATCAAGTCGCAGCAGTGATTACTGAAATGCATTTAGCACCGTGCGGGTTCTCTGATGACCGCACCTGGAGCAGTCGATCAGGCATCAGCTGTCAGTCTCCCCAGGTGAAGACCGTTTGGTAACATCTGCATGTCAAATACATGGTGAATATATTTATAGATCTCCTCAGCCTTTTGATGGGTTACTTGTGCATACACACAGATTTCTTGAGGTGAGCTGAAAAATAAATTAGACAAAAACAATTCACTAGGACTTTTGACTTATAAAATTTAAATTCTTATCTTGCTTAAAGAACACAAAACATTGAAGCCTTAAGAAAATCATCGCTTCCTAAGCATTACATCCAGTTAATAGGTCTTTAGCATTAGTTTAAATAAAACAAAAGCTTATTCTCTATACTTAAAATCGTATATAACAGTAATTTCAACATCTTACATGGGCCCTTAGTTTAATTAAAATTAACCTATTTTCTAAAAACTTCCTTTTCAAGCAATATAATAATCAAAAACTAGTAAAATTTTCAACTTGAACATTTTTCCAATTACAGAACTAAACAGCCTAGAAATGTCAGAATGCAAGATCAAGTGTAAGTGCCATCTGTCTACCATAGGGCTCAAAGCTCCTTAAAGGCAGTGCCTATCTTTTTCCCCCGAATTAATGTCCTCGGCTTCATGAAGTGACTATCATATGCTGGTGAGCAAAAAGTCTTTACTGAATGCAATAATTGAACAGGAACTATACCTCTTTATTTTTAAAAAATACTAAAATTCCTGTGAAATGCTCCTAAGGATCATTTAAAAGTAACTATTTAAAAATATTAAAACAGACATACCTGTTAGTCATCTTTTTCACAGATGAAAACTGGTGACACATATTTAATGCAGTTATATAACTTATATTGGGAATACTTAGATAAAACTGAAGTGCCTCACACTTATGACTGTTCACCACTGCTGGAACATGAATACCAACATTCTTTCTTTGTTCCACCAAAGACAGTTCCTTTAGCAAATCTGCAGTTTCTTCTTGGCAGGAACTGAAAAGAATTCGGATTCCAGCACCAATCAAGGTAGTCAGCAGGCTGTCATAGCTCTTTGTTCTCCTAAACATCCTCGATGTGTCTCCTAAATATTTCATAGTTAGGAAAATGCAAACCTTAGTGACTTACATTAAGTAGAATTGTTAATACTATATATTATTAAAATCCCAAGATCTACATACACCATTAAGCAAACTAGTGCCACATTATGCTAATGAGAAACTCTACAGCTAAGGATTTAGTGATTCTCAAGTAGCTGACAGAGAAAATAGGGAGAACTGTCTTGATGAGTGTCCTGAACCGGAATCCACACAGGATGGTGAGTACGCAGGGGAGAGCTTACAGTCCTAGATAATTGATTTCTGAAGGCCAAGGCCATAGTACCATCTCCGAAATTCTTCCTACGGCTACGGGTGATGAAAGATTCATTAAGATACAAAATTACCTTACGTATTTATTCCCAGAGGAACTCAATGTCCTGCACACTCACGAAAACATCACCTTTAACTCTTGCCTGTTAAGTTCCTTTCCTAGCTTTCCCATTCATTTTCTTTCCATTTCTACTGACATTCTTTCTTTGGCATTCTTCATTATGCCAAAAAAAAAAAAAAAGATACTTTTCCATAACTTGGGCCACGTTACTTTCTTTTTTATTCCAAATCTATTTCCTTTATAAAGGATATGTTGGTAAAGAGGAAATTATAGAGTTTTAGCACTAAGACCCAAGAGATCACCTTTTCAAGCCCTCACTTGTCAAATTAAAAAAAAAAACTAAAAAACTGGGTCACTGAAAGTGACTTATCCAAGATCACATGGTCTACCGGTGACAGCATGGGGATAACGTTTGTTGCTCAATTCCCAAACCAACATTTTACATAAACTATTCCCTTTTACATGATGACTGTGTAATTCTTAAATTCTTCCATAGTGGCTTTCACCTGCACGATTTCACTTAAGCTTCATAACATCACGAGATGAGTGGGACAGTATATGATTAACTCCTCGGAGGGAGTGATTTGTCAATGCAACGTCACATAGCTATGGAGACACCAGGACTCAGTGCGTCTTCTGATTCCACATCCCACAATCTTCTCACTATTCTCAGGGGCTCCTCATACTATTAAATTTTACCCATAGAAATTCCCTAATTGGAGCTCCAATCCCGCATTTCCAAATGCATCCTAGGCACCCATTTCAGTGACGCACTGAGAATCTTAACATGTTCAAAACTGAACACTCCTTGTCCCTCAAATCTGCTGCTTCTCTTATATTTATAATTTTGATAAGCAGCACCACTACCTAACTGCCCAGTAACCACAAAACTGGTCAACTCAAGAGCAATTCTTGACTCCTCCCACCAACTCCTGCTAATCCTCCCCTGTAAACCTCCTGAATCCTATCTCCCTTTCCCCACTGCTGCCTTATTTAAGGCCTTCCTTTCTGGGGCTCCTGAAAAAGACTTTTGATTGGTTCACTTGCCTTTCATTTCTCACTGTTCAATTCTCATAAGCTGCATTTAAACACAATGACTAAAGAAAAACATTATGGCATTATGTAAATATGAAATGACATTCATGAGTCGGGTATTTACATTCCACACGGTGACAGTGGAATGAACTAAATAATAGTCAAGTTCCTTTACAGCCTTATAAACTTTTTAAAATACAAACCTGTTTTTTCTCTGTCCTTTTCCACAATCACACATATTCTTTCAAACATGCTCTGCAGGTGCTGGATCTGTTCAATGAGCTTGTTCTTACTGATACTATTCAACATCTCAGACTGAGGCCTCCTCTCCACCACCATGCGGTTACTCACAATGTAACCACCACCGTGAAGAGGGCAGACCTCTACCTGTAAGCCATGAACTGCTCGCAGGGAAGAAATTACTTCTGAACTAGAAGTGATTTCACGACTATCTACAAGAATACAAGTTCTCTGGCCCTCCTGTGGAAGTTTAAGAGAAGCATGTGCGCCAGCCAAATGTGGTCTTGAGTTGGAACAGTAAGCCACTGAAGTGCTAGAATCCTCCAGAGCACCACCAGCCTGAAAAAGTGGAAAACATCCATCACAATCAGATTAAATATATATCAGCGCCATAAACTTCTAACACCTGAAGATGATTTTTCCTTACTGATATTTTTTCTTTTTTTTACTGTTTTCTTCCTTCAACATGACCAAAGTGACTATGCAGATGAAGGACCAAGCCACACTTCATACCTAGTAGGACGGTTATAATTTAAAAAAAAAAAAAAGGAAAGTAAGTGTTGATGAGAAAGTGAAAAAACTGGAATGTATATTGCTGGAGGGAATGTAAAATGGTGCAGCCACTGTGGAAAACAGTTTGGCGATGCCTCAAAAAGTTAAACACAATTACCATGTGACCCAGTAATTCCGCTCCTAGGTATAGACTCAAAAGAACTGAAAACAACGACTCAAATACTTGTATGCCAATGCTGGTTCATTTTGGAAAATTCTTAGCCATTGCCTGTTCAAATATGCCTTCTACCCTATTCTCTTTCTCTAATTCCAATTACAAGTCCCTGAGACTAGTGGACACAATCCCACAGCTCTTGCATGCTCCGTTCTGTCTTTTCACTCTTCCTTGTGTTTCACATTGGCTAGTTTCTATTGGCCTAGCTTTAAGTTTGTTGGTTCTTTCCATGGCTGTGTTGAGTCTACTAATGGGCCCATTGACGATATTCTTCATCTCTCTTACCACGTTGTCCATTTCCAGCATTTCCACTTTGTTGTTCTTTATATTTTCCACTTCTCAGATGATATTCCCTATCTGTTCATGCATGTTTGTTTGACTTTTCCACTAGAGCCTTTAACATATCAATCATGGTTATTTTAAATGCCCTGTCTGATTAGTTCCAACAACTGGGTTATATCTGAGTCTAATTCTTGAGAAAGTGTTTTTTTTCTTCCTTCTACATATCTTGTAACTTGTGGTTGAAAGCCAAACATCTTGTGTAGGAGTGTAGTAATTGAGGTAAATAGTATTTATGCCTAGAAATAGACATGTCTTTCTTTTGCTAGGCCTTTACTGTGTGGGGTTGAGTCAATCTAGTCAAAAGCTGAGTTGGGTTTGGGTTTTCTTATTGCTATCTATGATTACTCTAGGTACAACCAGAGACTTCAAACTCCTGTTGTGTTACTCTGTATTTAGGTTGGGGGCTGGGTTGCCAGATGACTTTCTAAATGTTCTCTCAGCTCTAGGGCCTTGCTGTGAGCCTGCACCTCAGAGAGGTTCTCTCCTACATTCTTGTCCCTCTCTCAGCAGTAGATTGCTCTGATTTGTTACTTAGTGCTTGCTAGCCTGGTTGGAGGGAGCGCTAGGAGTTGGCGGGGGCGAGGGGGTTCTATTGTCCTGATTCAGCCTCTCTTGGGCAGGACTTGTGTCCCTTGTCTCAGAGGTGGACCGTCTCAGTGATCCTGCCCTCCCTCCCAGTGGTTAGAGATCTCTAATGTTCTAGGCCCAAGATGTCCTGCCCCTTTCTCAGGTGTGGGGCATTTTGTTCTTATTCCCTTCCTCCATCTGCAAAGGGTCTTCCCCTCGGCCCTGAGGGCCAGAGGGTTTTCTGCTCCTCCTCCAGAGGCTGAAAGCTTTTGTTCCACAGGGGACGTAGGGGGAAGAAACCAGATGGGGTTTGGTGCATTTTCCACAGTAACTGCTGGTCACTTCCCCAGACCTGCCCCAGGAAGGAGGCCTTCTCTGATCCTCAGTCTTTCCTGAGAACACCTGATGAGCCTGTGGAGAAGAGCCCATGAGTGCAAATTCCCCTTCTGTCTGCAACTCCCAGCGGTTCTAAACCCTCATGCTAGTACACTGCCTTTTGCAATTCATTCAAGTTCTAGCTGAGTTCTTCCTACCAGATTGTGCAGTGCTGAGTGACTGCCCCGAATCAGCAAGTCTCTCGTTGGAGGCACTCATCTTTCCTTCGATATCAGGCAGGCTGGTTGCCCTGCAACCTCAACTCCATAACGGTCTCAAACTCATGATTTTGTGGATTATCTGGTTTTTTTTGTTATAAGGATAGGAGCAATGCTCTTTCCAGCTTCGTACATCCTAAGCTAAAGATGGAAGTCCTAATCACTCAGAAATAATCTTTATATTCAATATTCAGTTTCAAAAAACAAAAAAGAAGAAACGTAATGAAAGAAGAAATGGCCACTAAAACACCAAAAGAAAATACTGGAAATATTTACTTATCTTGGAGTAGAAAATGGCTTTCTAAAAGTGACCCTGAAGTCAGAAACTATAAAGAAAAAATTGACACTGTATAAAAAAGTTACCTTTTCCTATGGCAAAAATCAAAACAAAAAGGCAAATGACAGACAAGGAATACTGTTTGCAATACACATGACAAAGTAAACGTTAACATTTTTAGTATCTAACGGTTTTTGACAGGTTATTTAGTCTATTTGCTGTCTCCTCAAATTTACCTCAAATTCTTTCCCCTCCTAATTTCAAGTAAGAAGAATCATACTACATGGAATTGTAGTATTAGATAATAGAAGAAAAGGTAAACATATTTCTGTTAACATCTATTTATCCTTTTTCACAATCCTCAAAGGACTACCTGCCTATATCTATGTTTTAGTTAGAGCATGCCCAAGTAGAAATGTAGGTAGTGCTTACTGGTTTCAAAGTCCTGTGCACATATTACCCACCTCGACCCTTGGGGTTACTATGTTTATACACAGCTGTGGATGCTGGGGCTTTGAGACATTAAGTACTGAGGTGCTCTCCAATCTATGGTAAGACTTAATCTAGTCAACTTTGTCCTCATTGTGCCTTTGAGAAACAACTGTGCAAAAAAAGCCTGGGAACAGTTCAAAACTGGAAACGCCCATCTGAGGGCCATTGTGTGCACATTGGAGCATGATGCTGAGGGCCATTGTGTGGACATTGGAGCATGATGCTGAGGGCCATTGTGTG